AATTTACAGGAATAGAAGAAGGCTTTAACTAAAATAATTACAATACAATTAGATCAAGAAAGAAAAGGTCAGTTAGAAAAACTTACAACTAAAATACAATACTTGGCAACTAATTTCAAATATTTAAACAACTAATAATTCGTATAAACCTATTATTATTCCTAATAATTCCTATAAACCACACAAACAACTACAAACAAATACACCTAGTATAGTCCCATAAGGTGTACAGATTATGCGTAGGCTAATTAACTACTCAGAAAAATACAGTCTTAAGTTTTTTTTAAAGTTACTTACTGTGAGATTATTGCGCACAGTTAACGGAATATCATTCCAAATAATAGGAGCTTGCCAAGTGATAGCAAATTGGTACTTATGACAGGTTTTATGCAGATTAAAACGTGAACGAGTCATATAATCGTGATATTCAGAATTAAAATGAAGGATCGAGAAAACAGGAGTAGGTAAAAGGCTATTAAAATGTGAGAATACAAAACAAGCAACATGGAATTTATAGATAGAGTAGATTGAAAGAATATTATGCTTAGAAAAAACGGGCTTAGAGGATGTGCGCGGAGGAGAAAAGGTAATAATTACACGAACAGCTTTCTTTTGAAGTACATAAAGGGGTTTAAGGTAAGAAGCATAAGTAGATGCCCATATTAAACTGCAATAATTGATGTAAGGTAAGAAAAGAGAATTATATAAAGTTTTCAAAGTATTCAAGGGTAAGTATCCCCTCGACTTGCATAAGACTTCTCTTACTTTACAGACTTTATCACAGACAGCAGAGATATGCGGTTTCCAAGATAAATTTTCATGAATGATAATCCCAAGAAATTTGTCTTCCTGCACACGTGTGATGAGAGAACTATTTATAAATATCTTTATATCTGAGGAGTTAATTTGTTTACGTCGCGGGTGAAAAATGATGAATTTAGACTTGGCAGGATGAACAGTGAGTTTGTTAGCATTAAACCAAGAAGAGACATGAGAGAGCTCTACCTTGAGAATGGTTGCTAAGGTAGCCAGGTCATTATGACGAAGAAAGATATTTGTATCATCAGCAAAGAGAATAATAGACAAGGGATTGGAGACATGAAAAAGATCATTGATGTACAAAAGAAAAAGTAAAGGTCCAAGAACTGAACCCTGGGGAATCCGGTTTGAACCGGTTTTGGGCGGTTTGATTTAAATAATATCTAAGCCCAACCATATCACCATATTGAAATAATCTTTGACTATATATTATTTTGGTTTTTGAGTCAGGATCTGGCTTATAGTTTTGATATTTATCCTCATTTGTGAATACAATATGAGAATGATTATTGGTTATTTTTTTGAGTCCAAAATCCAACCTATCTATATTTGCTTTTGCAATCATATCCAATATTTTGTCGACTATTGGAATTTCAATTATTTTCTTTTTATAAGCATCTAAAATAGGACCTAAATAAAAGCTCTTGCCGCATTTATAATCGGCTTTTTCTATTGCTTGCTCAGACTCAATGAGTACTGATCCTTTGTATCCTTCACAAGTACGTTTTATGATGCCAGATAGTAGTAACAACCCACGGCATGAAATTCTTGGTTCTTTTAGCTGGTTTAGTTGCTATAATGCTGATTTTAGAGCGGTTTTTGTGTGTTTTTGTACGACTTTTGACTTAATATTTGAGACAAGTCCCATTTCATTGGTCAACTTTTGTTTACTAAGGCTTACTCTACCATTTGGAGGACTATACATAGATATCAAACTAGTGCCTCCTGATAGAGATTGTTGTTTGGCTAAAAGACGGATAAAATCTTCCATATATATATTATGTATATAATTATGGAATGTAAAAAAGGTGTGTTAAATAGATACTGACTTGTTTTTAGTTTGTGATAATTTTATTTTTCAATTTGGTGGATAACTTTATAAGGCATTTCTAGAGTGTCCTTATTATAAAAGTGTTTGATGCAATATTTACACGGCACTCTGATGCCTTTCATATAATCGTGGATATTCATGCAGATTTTACCATAATCATTACTGAGTATAAATGCATAGCCATTATAAACGTACTTCTTCTTCATCTCCAGTTGGGCTTCTGACACATGATAATTATTAGTTGGTAATTTGAATTAAATACAGAGGCCTTTATAATCTTTGTGATAATCGAGTACCATTAGATCGGGCTGTCCTCTCATATATCCCTTTTTATATGAATCTAGTTTCTTATCCTCAGTATCTTGATCCTCTCCGAGACCGGCTACTAATATGGAATCTGGATAATATCTCCTTATAAGATCCACTACTTTATAATGGAGGCCAGTCTCATTGCCAATCATGATCATCTTATTCCAGGGACTATCAAATAGTTTGTATTGGCCATATTTACGGATAGACGGGAGGTCTGTAGTAAATACCCAATCTTAAAATTTTTTAGCAGCTGGTAATTTGGAACTAAATACGAGGGAGTAAAAACCTGGTTCTGATATGAAATATTGGTATCTGACCTGACCCGCCAAAACGGCGCGGTAGCTTTTTTTGTACTTTTCATCAACATGATTCCTTATAGCCTTATCATTATCACTATAACCGAGGATCTTAGCAATATCTTTTCCTCGGAACCAAACATTTTGCTTATCATCAATAAATGATGTCAGCTCAATTTCTAAATCTTCATTAGCAAACTTTTTGTCAATCATAAATACCATATATACAGATTACATAAATATTATCATACAGACCAATAAAATGGTAAATATGATAGATTAAAAAGTATGCTAGGCCTCAGGTGCCGTTTCAGCACATTAGACCTGAGGGGGCGAAACGTCCACGCCAACGATTGGGGTATTTTGTTGACCCGTCCAGACGACCGGGCAATAAATTAACTGTTTATGGTTATCCTTACTCTTCTCCTCCTCCTGTTCCTCTTCCTCCGTTTCAACGATCGCTTTAAGGACGCCTGTTAATGACATCTCAGCTGTTTCTAAATTGTTGGAGATTAATTTCTTTTGATGTGATGTCGCAATCTCTTCTTCCAATTTTTGGATTTTAGTGAATAGCGCATTAAGCTCAGTTTCCTTACTCTGGATTTTAGTATCAAGCTTTCTTATATGATCGTCCATATATACTATTAGTTAGATAAATCTTGCAAGCTGCTTAGTGGAATCCAACTATTAAAGTCATCACCATAACCCAACCATTTTACAAGAGCTTGTTTCTTCTTATAATCCCTCCGAATGACCTTTTCAATGCGAAATACATCCCGTTTTGCTGGTAGTAATTCTGGTTCATAAAAGCTGCGTTGTATTTCCTCATTATTGAGATCCTTTAATCTGTAAGTAATTGGGTTTGTGGATTGGATTTATCAACCAGAAATATCTCCTCTGTCCAATTTGGTGTGTACCCTTTATCGAATACCTTTCTCTTGTACTCACTTATCCTCACTTTATCACTAACTTTGAATTTGGCCAGGGCTTAGATGACAATTGCTTCATATCACCATATAGATTGTAATACACGGTACTTTCATTCTTCTTCTTACTAGCTTCTATAGGTGTCATTTTAATGGAACTTTGTTTGGTATTGTTATATTGCTCCAATATTTTTGGTAGTATGTCAAGATATTAGGTATTACCTTCGACAGTAAATTGCTTCCACATTTTGGTTTTAATTGTACGGTTCCATCTTTCACACACACTAGATTTTTCCTCATTCTTGGTTGAGTATAGTGTTATGTCATTCTTTTCCAACAGTTCTTTCATATTTTTGTTATAATATTCTTTCCCTTTACAGTCCATAGATATTGTGGTTTGCGGCCCTCCTTGAAGATTGTTTTGAATGCTTCTGTGACAGTTTCCCCTTTCTTATCCTTCAATGGGACAATCCAGCCATATTTGGAGAACAGATCTAATACCATCAGGCTATATCTGTAACCGGTGTTCCATTTACTGAACTGTTGCATTTCAACCAGATCTGAGCACCAAATTTTGTCAATACCGGTTGTAATAACACGCCGCCGAGTAAAGTTGCGTTTTATGGGTTTATGTAGTTCATCTGCTAATTGTTGCTGCCAACTAATACCCGACGACTTTTCTAGTTTAAACCAAGACCCAGTTTTTGTTTTGTGTTTATAATATTTCTAGCTAACCAGTGACCCCATTGTCGTTCATTATAAGGAATGGCGTCTAATGATTTTACCATTTTACGGTCACCTTTATTTTTGCACTTTCGGTTATCACCACAAACACTATAATCAACATCATGTTGCATGGCCACGGCATCGGTTGGCCCAGTCGGTTGATCATAAATTTGTAATATTTCACCAGTTTCTGGATTGTATCTGACTTGATTTTCGAGATCGTTGTAAGGCCCGGTGTATTTATGGCCCGGTAATGTCCAACCACCTGCGGGTCTTGGTAATTTACCAATCTGCTTGTGGATATCTATAGCACCACCATCCAAATCTTTTCTGTTAGTTTTGCAGTTTTTCTTTGGTCGTATTTTGGTTGATAATTGGTCAAGAGCCTGAGACCCCACATTGTGTATTACTGGATTCAATTTATCCAGAGCGTAGTCGATAGCTTTTTTCTGTAACTTTTTATTACGTAAAGCTTCAGAACCGTAATATCTGCCCATCTCAACGGTCTTTTTGGCCATATATAGTAGGGCATGATGTACATTTTTATTCCGCATTCAGCACACGTGCACCAAAACATAAGTCTACCATTTTTTGCTGTTTTATAACCCGAAGGTTCTACACTTTCTGTTTGCTTCTTCTGTTTAACACAATAAGATTTCACCATTATTATATACTTATGTTATGTAATTATTGTCTAATCACTATCACTACCGTCTGGAACATAAGTTTCATGGCTGCTATCTGACTCATAATCACTCTCACTCAAGGGCTCACAGTTGCAGCACTCGAAACATCCATATTGATTCATACAATGTGGCGTAACTTCTTGACATTAAACACAGAACTTTTCAGTCATCTTATATATATGGATTACATAAACTAGTTTATTAGAAATTGGTGATTTATCATTTGATTTGTGAAACTGAATTTGGGGTTGTGTATAACGTCTAATAATGATCTACTCTTTTGTCTCTCTAGGAGATAATATAGGCACCAATAATCACACAAAACACTGTCTCTCTCTTGTATTTCATCTGATGAGTACACTATTTTTTTTATTCCCGCCGCCTGTTTTCAGATAATGTTTAATCTCATTGGGCATGATCAATCCAAACGAATCAAAATACTCACAAAATTGTTTATCCACATTTCTATAACAGACCCAATGACTGCCCCCGCCCATTGGGTCATCTAAATTAATTATTCCTGTTTCCAATTTGTGTATTTTTTGTGGTAAATTATCACGGCTAAATACACCTCTAAAATATTTTATTTCCACTTGTGTCACCCATTGTAACAAATCAATGTTCGATAATGGTTTATTTATGAATCTTACAGTATTGTTCCTAGAATTGGGATTGAATTGAATGGACTTTTTTTGCCTAGCAGCAGTCCTTTTCCCTTTCGTTATTTTTTACTCCCCCACCAACCGGGTTTTCCCATGTTCCAAAGAAGGCTGGTGACATATAAGGATACGGACTATACATTCCATGGCCATTAGTTGTGTCGGGAACATAAACAGATGTTGTATTAGCGGAACCGGTTATATCGGCCTGTAATCCTTTTCCTGTTAATGCGTTTAGTAATAGTGGCACTCCTTTACTCGCTAATAGAGTTCCTAAAAACCCACCCTGCTGTGTTTTTGTTGGTCGGATAACTAATCCGTTACCAGTTTGGGGAGCATTAAGAATATCCCTTTTCTGGCCTGTGGATAGTAAATGTTTGTACGCAATCAATTGTGCTATTTTATCCTGTGGAATAAGAAAACCTCCTCGTTGACCTTTTCCGAATATTTTATCCACACCGAGACTGGCTAATCCTGATAACTCTCCTGTTGGAAGCGGTGTGATAGCTTTTTTAGCCATTGGCGCTACCATAGGTAGTAACTTGCTTCCTAAACTGATTAATGATCCCACAAACTACCACCTTGTCTAACAGCTTTTCTGATTTGTGTTTTTGATATTTTGATATCCGATCCTGTACCCTGGCTTATTGCTTTTCTCAGCTTATTGATCTGAGTTTTTGTGAGCATTAATTCGAAAGGACCGAATAACTCATTTCTGGCTAATCTGATGGTGATTACTGAATTATTGCCGTAAGCTCTCGAAAGCTTTTCCAATTGTCCTTTACTAAGTGACACACCATAAGGATAATATTTCGTCATTACTTGTATATAATATATGTTACATAATTTTAACCATATTCAATTTACGATCTGAGTATTATTTTACCATCCTTTTGAATTAGCTCAACATCCTGCTCATATAATGTTAATGCGTAAATTGAGTAGGCTGCTGCCATTGTTCCTGATAGTTCATATTTGAATGTCAGTTTTGTAGTGCCATCCTTAATGTCCATTTTCTGCTTTGTTTGGTCGAAATATAAGAATGAAAACAGGGTACGAAAATTAGATTTATTGAGTAATGACCCTTCACCGTATTCATTATTTTTGTGAACATATTTCAGCACATCCCTGAAGACTCTAGTCATATCAGTAGTTGGTGTGTAATGTATCTCGGGGTATTCGTTTCCATTTCCGACTTCCAGGGGACAATTGGATAAGGTCCTTGGGTCAGTTGATACGGAAAATGTATTGTACAAGAATAGATTAGCTGTCTGGGCATCGATATTGGCATCATTGATTATAAACACAAACACGTGTCGGGGTTTCGAAATACCAGAAGAGATTCTGAAATGCCCAGCTCTCTGCTGGCTACTATTTGATCTTTCTATATTCTCTCTCAAGTAAGTCCATTTGTGATTTTTAAGGTATTGAATCATATAGGATGATTGGCCCTCACTGTTAAAGGTTATTCGCGGAACATACAATTGCATCCTAGTGATAACCACCCTGCAGTCAGCTCCGGCTTGCCAAATTAGATTACCATCCGACTCAATCTCAAAATTCATCTCAACCCTTGCATTGGGTGATAGCTCATCCTCTAAAATTTCAAAGAATGAGTATCTATTCAGTGGTATTTCAGTATTTACTTTGGATGAGACACCTAAGAGTGCTTTCCGAAGGGCAAAACCCTTATTGTAAGCTGCTCGCCTTTTGGCTAACTGATCTGTGCCACTAACTTCAAATTCCTGCTCTTCTGCATTTCTGGATGTATCAAGATAGAAAAACTCATTACTCGCTGTTTTTTCAGCGTAAGATGCACTGTACTCAAGTAAGTTCTTAATATTTAGCGCGTGATTTGCATCATTACAATCATACACTTTCTTACCATTGAGCTTAATATCAAAATGCTTCAACAGTGAATACGACCCGTTTACAATTCCATTATGATCTGCCACTGCAATGTTACCACCATTAGCCAGTAATACTACTTTAAAATCGACACTGATACGAGCATTATACCAATCGAATGGTGTAACCTCTCCTCTGTTATCAACAACAAACCTGTAGCCATCTTTCTTTTGGTGAGCATTATTGGCGACAGTTGTATTTAGTGCTGTTTCTACAATCAGGGACAAAAGTAGTTGACACACTTGTTTAAAACGGGTGCTTTTAACAAACATTTAATTCATTTATTGTTTCATTCCTTTTAAACGCCGTAAATCCCCCGACCCCCCGAATCAATGTTGTCTGAAGTAAAAAAAAGACGTGAGGGTCCAAAATTCAATATTGATTTTGGGGGGAAGGGTTTGGTGTAGACAGGGGAAGGGGATAAGTGTATCCACTATGCAAAAAGGGGCCATTTTACGGAAGTGAGTCAACACTTTTGTCCCTCATTGTAGGTCAAAAATAACATCTTCATATCGTTCAACATACTTTGGATCTCTAAAAGAATTCATTATATTAATAGATTACATAAATCTTTCATATAGCCTAATAGATAAATCTTCTCATCTGGCCTCCAGACAATAATTGATTTACTCGTTCATTAATCTCATAATCGCTGAGTTCTCTTGATTGTGGATTTTCTATCGGAGTTGCTGCTACTGGTGTTTTTGTGTTTTTATCCTTTTTGCTTAATAATTGAATAATTTTATCACTTGCTTTTTCGCCCGCATATTCACCAGTTTTAGTAGCAGCTTTTTGAACGGCCTTTTTTGTTGCCGTTTTAGCAGCTTTTTTCATGGTCCTTCCAAACAACTTTCTGCCGATCGTTTTGAAAACATCGGTAACACCTTCTCCATAAATATGCTTCTTAACATATCTCCCCGTTTTAACATCATAACGTCTCTTAAATTCTGATTGTCTCATTGTATATTATTAGGTTAGATATTATACTGGTTTGGATCGCAATATCAGTGTCATAAACCAGTCAATCTTATTTAGTCCAATTAGTCCCCTTAGTGAGTCTGTAATATAAAAGGGTCCGGATAATCTGCGAGCCAGCGAGCCATGCGAGGCGTGCGAGCCATGCGAGGCATGCGAGCCATCGGAAAATATAAATTTTTAATAATATTCTAATTGGAAATAGTTCGTTTTGTAATTGGTTTTGCNTTGTGCAATGAATTATTCATCATTGCTAATGTTTTATGTATTTTATTTAGTTCGCAGATGGCAAATCGACGCACGCAGTGTCTCGTTGAAGCAACGAAGCGTGGTTTCACGCTAAACATCGATCCAAGCGGGGAAAGAAACCGTTGCTTTTATCAGTGTTTGGCAGCGCATTTGGGGATGAAAGATGTGCAAGGACTAATCGACATGTTGGAAAACTACATGCTTAATCACCGACTGGTTCCCGTTAAAAATATAATATTCTGTTCTTGTTGTCATTGTTTCTGTACGAACAAAAATATATTTAATGCTTTAAATTCTGGTGTTAAAACCTTAACCGTAATCAAGAGAAAGGATTTGAAAACGATACGGTTTCATCGTTCGTGTAGATAAGTTTTCAGATGGCTCGCATGGCTCGCTGCCTTGGCTCGCATGGCTCGCATGGCTCGCATGGTTCGCTTGTATGACTCGCATGGCTCGCATGGCTCGCTGGCTCGCACTCTATCCAAACTCATATAAAACCTCATTTGACTAATATTTAGTTGGGATACTTCATTAAACAATAGTCTTCTGGGTTCAAATGTGAATGAAAAGCTTCTTGTCAAATTGTCAGTTGGAATAACAGCTAACGTATTAGTGTTAACACCATTCAATATGCTGTTCGTAATGGCGTCTGTGTTGATATGGATCATATCAATGGAATTTTTAATATTAGGCAGATCACCATCCCCATATTCTGTTTTCTTCACAATTTTCTCTGTAAATCCAATTAACTCGCCAAATTTACTATTTCTCAGATCCAGTTGGTAATTGTTGTCAATCTGAATGAGAATCTTGTATGTCGATAATACAAATGTTAGATTAATGTAGTATACATCATCCTTTTTTACATCAGTAGTTTTATGGCCTTTCTTTTTCATGTACTGATGGAGATAGTCATTTAGGTCTGAATAAGTGTACATCCCATCCACAAATTTGACGGTTTGCCATGATGTACCGCCATCAGGCGAGTATTTTATTTGATTATTTTGATACTGATCTGAAATATTGTGCCAACTGTAAGTC